TGAAACGAACAATTTCTGCTTTGAACAGTGACTCCGATGTGTTCTTACACTTTGCCTGAAAAGTTTTGTCTTCTTTGAACTGGTATGATCAACTGTTTTGAAAGCACTCTTTGGTTTCCTAACTCAGGAATTTGTAGCCTGGTTTCAGCACATAGTAGAAGTGCAATCTTGTTACAAGCGAAAATTGTTTACTGGATTGGCAACCACTAAAGTAGTGACTCAAGATATGATCGTGAGGATGAGGTGGGTTAATGAGTAATTAGCAAGTGATCGATGTTTCAAAAGATTTTGTGTTCGATCACTTTCATGTCGATTGCTATCAAGTATAGACAACACTCGATTAGAGGCCCACTGGCTAACACTGAGTACCCTTTGATCTCATTAATCACTGATTAGTAACGCTTAGGGTTTGCAACATAAGCACAAGCGGAAAAACCGATCCTCATTAAATTGTAATGTGAGTGGAAGAGAACACTACATTGACGAGTAGTTTCTTTAGTTGCTTTGAAAGATAACTTGTATTTTCCAAGGAGGTCTACCTTTAGTCTCCCAGCGCACTGATGGATCAGGTAGAAAAAGCTAATCCAAAACTCACTAATTTTCATTTGTGGTTCAAAAACAAGATTAGGACTTAGTCCGGACGTTTCAGAAATTAGGCAGGAAGCAGCGAAACGAACATACCTTGCATTACAGAAACAGGATAGATAAAAAGATAAAAAGAAATGAGAAAACCCACCAAGAAATTTCTCGTCAGGTCTGCATTTTTAGGATAGAACAAACAAGTACGATTGAATTAATTTGAAACAGTAATTGAAGAAGTTAGGTCGCTTCGCAGCGATGCCCGCTGCGACGACGTTAATTAAACCAATCACAGGCAGCGCAAGTAATACTAAACCATCTCGCTATTCGAAACCTCTTTCGTAAGCGACATACGATTGATGGAAGTGATAGGTTCAACTTGTTTAACTTGTTTTTTGCTGTAGTAATGCGATCCGTACCCGCCTTCCCCTCATCCCACCAGGAACAACGAAATCGCACGCAACAAATCGCATCATTGCTGGGTGTAAATGAAAATTTTTCTTCCCTGCTCCTATGCCTCTGCATTTGTCAGCCTGCGCACAACTCATACAAAGTGAGCTAAAGGTACGTGAAATCTGCTGAAAGCTCTGGGGTGTGTTAAGAAGCGATGGCGTTGTTGTAAAGCTGTCGAGTCGAGCGTCGGTTGTGGCTGTTGCTTATTACAGAAGGAAAAGCGGCAGAGGGTCGGGGACTGAGTCAGTTTGGTATAGATGAGCTGTTGTTGCATGACTTGGCGTTTCTTAATGGGCTCTATGCATTTATTAAGGTGATCAGAGAGTGATGTTGCATAACACTGCAACGATTTTAGGTCGAAAAGGATGTGAATTTCTACACATTCCCAGCCGGTCTACCATCTGGATTCTAAACATATGAAGGAATTGTCTGCTAAGTCATAACGATTTCCGTACCATACGACTTTAGCCTGGTCTATATCTCTGGGGTTCATTATCCCCCGGGTTTTCATTGGAGGAAAACTGGTTGCAAAAGTAAATTGAAAGACGCTACAGAATTCTTCGACTGTGCCGCTTTTAACCAATTCAATGCGAGATAGTAGCGAGTGTTCTAAGATAACTTACTCGAACACGAAGGCGCTTGGAAAAATTTTTCTGTCATAATTACTTGAATCCGGAAGGCTATGGCTGTCGCGACAAAAAAAAAGATAAGATTGCTAGTTTCGTATATGTATCCCTGGTTTGTCCATCTCTACTGCCCAATGGTAGTAAACCTGGTGAAAAAAGGTGGAAATGGAACTTTTCATGGCTAATGGGCCAACTCGAAGAAAAACAACCCTTGGGCCTGGCATAATTACAGGAAATCACTAAAATCATCAAAAGGAAAACGCGGCTTGTTCGGGGAGAGAAGGGGAGCTTATCACAAAATACCGGAAATCAAAGGCAATGCTCGCCTAAACAAATAACAACCTTCGGTTCCACAGATTACATATTCTAGTAATATGGTAAACAGGTTATTTTCAGTTTTCGAGTTTTCAAATAAGCATGTCCATGGAAAATCCTGGGCATTGAGGCCGACGAAAGTAATTAAGGTTAAATTACGCGAGAGTCAACTTCCTGCTCAGCGGGTAAACAAGGGGATATATTTCCAAAAGTTGAGCTAGTTTCGTCAACTAAACTATTACTGGAAAAAACAGGGGGCCAGATCGAAAGGGTTACACTATTTCTAGAGAATGCCTACATATCGCTTATGACACTGTGCTCTGAACGTTCCATTCGTGTGAGATTATACGACTCTCCAGAATTTTTTTGGCTAAAGTCAGCGTGAGTAATCGCTATTGGTTTTGCCAAGATGAAAGAAGTTAAGCTGTTTTTCTTTTCCGAGTTTCTCACTTTTTCGCAATGAGATCATAATTGATGTACGTGAGGTTTGAAAAATTACAGCCATGTCTCACACTGTGTGGATCAGCAAGTATCTTCACTCCACACCTTAAGCTTGCTCGAGAAAATGTTAACAAAAAAAAAAGACAAAGAAAAGCTCAAACGAACAAGGTGGTGTTAAGTTGTATCTTGGGAGGAGGACGCGAGAGCTAGTGAAAAAACGATCGAGATTTCTAAACAGTTCCTACTCATACACATTATATGCTTATAAAAGCATGTGTGTCATATTCTCTCCATGTATGGTTGCACTGGCCTTAGTTTGAACAAACATACACGCAGAGGAAGGAAATTTGTAAAAGCTTCAATCTGTATGGTTAAGATATTGAGGAGTCATTTCATGTATAGCATGATGGTCTCTTTATCTGCCAATCACTGCATATACTGTCACAATGAAGTGATTTTCAAAAAGCCTTGCGTGTCGAGTTTACAAGGGCTTTCCTTTGGTTTGCTGAAGTCGTGTGTCACCGTTGTTATATAATCTGTTATTGAAAGGCTTCGATTGGCTCTTATGGAGATGTCGCGTGCCCGCCCTAGCCTGAGTATATGATAAGCTCAAAGAAATCGAAACTGTGAACTGAGTTCCCAATAAGACGTAAACCCATCTGAGCTAAAAAGGAAGAAGAATACCGATAGAGACACGAAGGGAATATTTCACCGATGTAAGTCAGAAGTACCTTGCATTTTGCTGTTTGATTTGTGTGAAAACGGATCCTACACTAGTTCCTGACTGAGTGGAGAACATTTGTTTGAGACATAGAAACAGGCACTCTGTTGATTTTACTGAAATCAGGCTTACATTGAATCCCGGGGTTTCTATATTTTGTCTTTCTCCACCAGTGCAACTTCGGGAAAATTTGCAGTTCATAGAATAATGACATGGTTTGGTCTACGATAAATTCCCTAGATGAGTCCAAGTGCACGTGCTAAGAACTCCACGAAACGATTATCATTATGCGACGGCATGCTTTTAACACAAGCTCTACCTTTCCTGTCTAGTTTTGTCGTTAATTTACCTTTTCATCTGGAAAAATTCGGTGAATGTTTAGTTTTACCACGAATTCATATTTCTGTTTGCTACACACAAAATGAGACCACCATGAATGCTAGCACACTTCAAGTACCTCGGGTCAGAAATATAAAACGTGTCGAAAGATATGCACACGCGGGTAAAATTACTTGGCAAGAGAACTTTGTTTTCTCACCTAACTGCCACTTAAGACGTTATAGATTTTCAATTAGAAGAAAGCCCCAAAAATACACTGGACTTCTCGAATTTACCTCTCTAAAAATCTTAGGGATTTCATTTCAGCACCAGAGGTCATAAACAGCCATTTTATTTCAGATTTTGATCGGTTTTCATGTTCTCGATGTAGGGCTGTTTCTTTTCAAACTTGGATCAAATGATTTTTTTGCCTGTGAAGATTGCATTATAAGGACATGTTAATCATTGGCTTGGCTGCTCTTTAGTCATTATGTGAAACGTGCTAGTGGAACAATGTTCGTTACTAAATGGTATAACTCCATTTAAAGAGCTCTCTTAAGCGTCGCGTTGAATGGGGCGCCCAGAGATAGGAAGGTTCTCCAGGTTCGACGGAAGAGGTATGGTTCTCTCGCAGTTTTCATTCCTAATAATTAAATCGATTTCCACTTTGATACCAATAAGAATAATAGTTTTGTGTTGATATGCTCAAATGCATTCGATTAGACCATTAACAACCCATCTATAGCTCGTGGGAAAGGCAAACTATCAGCAAGCCATCTAGAACTCAAAAAGTAAAGAGCTCTAAAATGACAAGTTTCAAGTCGGAATGAAAAACATTTCGTAAATTCGTACAGTATGCGCTTATAGCTATGTCTTTAAGGTTCGTCGCAACTACTGCTTCACAGTTTGTTCTTGTACAGAGAGAAAAAATCACCTCAATTTGTAGGTGACTCTTTAAGTGGCCCTCAATCACTATATGGGAGGGTTGTATTTTGACAAACTTTCATGCGACTCAGATCTCAAAATGTAATTAATTGGCTTAAACACTTGGAAAGTTCGCAACATGGATCGTGAATGAACCCTGAGAACAATGGAATAAAGTGATCAAAGGCCAAAAAGTTTCATGAAGCGTTAACTTTGAACTGGCAAGATGTCACAGCGAGAAAAGCAAGCATAAGCTTGTCTGCAGAAAGAATGTAATAAGTTTTTATTTTATGCCTTAGTAAATTCTTGTCATTTATCATCGGCACACGACTGTTGCAGCGATACCAAAGTCTCCTCACGAGAAAGCAATCAAACGTCGTAGTGCACAGGTAGAATGATCAATGCCGAGTGAATATTGAGAGATAGACAGGGAAACTTAAAAATACATGTCTAAAAGGGTCGTGAAGGAATTTTCCTCTATTGGAAGAAAATCTCATTGTCTTTTTACAATGAGGTAAAGATGCCAACAAGGAAAAAACAAAGGTGAACAAACAACTGAGCCAATAAAAACAAATACAACTCAAGGCTCCATTGTTTAAGTTATCTGAACCTTTCCCTTTAAGGATCTCAATTTGTTTCATAAAGTATCCTGAAAAGTGATGTTGTCTTTACGAGGAGCTTCGGTTCTTGTCCTCTGTTGTGTCCTTCGCATCTCATTCATCGCAGGCCGTAAGTAACCATGATTTAGTTTTATTATCGTTATTTATGTGTCGTTAAATCTAAACCACAGTAATCTTAATAGCCAATCATAACAAAAGTATAAACAAGTAAACTACCCAACGCGCTGGAAAACGTAAGCGACTGAGTGGACTGGTTTGAGCTTTTCGTTTGATTGGTTGGAATGAGGAGCGAGTTTTGAGGTCGACCAATCAGAGAGCAATCCATTATTACATTGAAAATTCATAATGGTAAAAGTATCAGAAAATCACTGCAATTAATTAACAGAAAAATTTATACCATGAATAAAATGTTCACTGGACAATATTAAAGGCCAAAATGAATTGAGCAAAATGTGTTTAGTTTTACTTTGCACATCATTTAAAGATAGTCTAAAGGAAAAAACGAGCTCAATCGAGTCGAAAACATTAAGAAATAGATCAGTCGAGATGCTGAAATAATGTGACTTCATACACTAAGCAGAATCTGGAATTTGTTTCTTCTTGGCATAAATGGTAATGCTTAAGGTAGTTTCACCTTAATAACGAGCTCAACTTATTCATTTTTCAGTCAATTCTGCGACAAAGTTTACAAAGATACCTCCAAGTAAAATCTTTGCCGTTGAGGGATCTGATATCACTTTCCAATGGGAATTGAATTTTGGCGATTTGCAAGACTGGAAAAAGTTCGAACAGATTTATTGGGGAAAAACAGACGGAAATGATCTCATCAGGAAGAAGTATATCACAGTTGCGAAATCATGGAATGGAGGTTTGAACCCCACACTTAAAGATTCCGTTAAATCCAGAACCAGTTGGATCGGAAATGTTACTCACGATCGATGTAAACAAAAGTTCGTTTTAAGGAATGTGAGTAAAGCAGATCAGACCACCTACGGCTGCACGGCAATAGTGTACGGTGACGAAATCAGGAGTGGTCCAATAAACCTATTTGTCCATGGTAAGAGCACATTGCGACGAGGTCTTAATCACTGTCTGTGTTGCTTTCAGTTTTGCGCGCTTTTGAAGCGGAATATTTCAGTGCGCGTTAAGCTTTATGTCACGGTCATCTCAGTTTAGTGACATGTTCCGTTGTCAAAAACCTTCCTTAACTTCAAGAAGACTCAGGCTAACCCTTAGCAATGTTAGTTCGGTGAGATAGAAAACAAAACAACTCGCACTTACAAACCATCGTGCATCAAGGATAGCTAACGATGGTAAGGATTAAAGCGGATGGCAAATGACGCACAGGAAAAGAAAGAGTTAAACGTTTCAAGCCTAACAACCCGTAACATGATCCCTTGAAGTCAATGCCTAGGATCGCTCCTTTAAATGGTCATTTAGCTTGTAAAAGCCTAAAAATATTATAGCATTTCTCGTATAAGAATCTATCATGCCGTTCATGATCCAATTGGTTCCTTCTTTCTTCAAAGATCCAGTCCCCCCAACATTGACCGGTCGATCGAATGCAAACATAGATGCGGATGAAGAGGATGACCTACGATTGCACTGCAACGCAAGTGGTGACCCCAAACCCATGATAACTTGGAGTAAAGATGGAACTCCTCTTCTTCAGAATAGCAGTTCATCTGCTGTGTTACAAATTCCAAATTTACGACAAAGAGATGCTGGTACTTACACCTGCACCGCTACCAACAAAGCTGGGTCTGCGTCTCACAGCATGGTTGTCAGAGTTGTACGATGTAAGTAGAGAAAAATCCTTTTAGGTATTTCTTAAACAAATGGTAAACACCACAGCGTACACTACTGAGTTATGGATGCACGCGGGAGGTTGCTAAGCACAAAAGAAGCGTAAGAGTCGCTCGAGGCGATAGCCGAGAGCGACTCTAGCTTCTGGAGTGCTTAGCAAACCTCCCAAGTGCATCCATAACTCAATAGTGTACGCTGTAGTGTTTACCATTTGTTTTATAACATAACATTGATACATTGTAGCTAAAGAGTTCCCTTTTATTTAACAAATCTTACGGGACCAGAAAAAACAAGCGCGCGCGTAAAAATAGTCTTTGCATTTGCTCACGTCAGCAGCGTACACCCATGGGCAAATGGGGGACGCTAAATTGACCAATCAGAGCGCGCGCTTTACTTTGGTTATGTTATAATTTAATTTGTAAGAGCGAGACTTATCTCAGTTCTCTGATTGGATACATCCGTGGTGATATCTGTGCGGGAACCTTTCAAAACCAATTTCAGAATTTATAAGGTCGCGCTTTCTGGTAGAACGAACCTGTTCCGGAAAAATTGTCGTCAACATACAGAAATGAATATTGAAAAATGACTGGTAAAAAGTTCAAATCGAATAACCCCGACAATGGCGTTGAAAAATTTAACATACCAGCATGGTTCGTGAAGACAGCCATACAAACGTGTAAGACTCAGATGGAACTTAAAAACAAATCCAAACACACGAGTACCGATTAAAAAACTTTTCTTCCTTACCTGAATGTTTAGATAAACCTCGCATCAACAAAACAGCTTCTTCAAAGCCATTATTGCAATCATGGATTAAGAAGGTGACCACCCTGAGGTGCTCTGCAGATGCTAAGCCTCTCGCAAACTTTACTTGGTTCAAAGATGGCCGACAGATTGTGTACGGTGTGAACTCTGCGCAAGACGTGGGCACACTAACGCTGAGACCTAGGAATGCGGGCGATTTTGGTTTGTATTCCTGCAGGGCCACAAACATTAAAGGAGCTGCTTGGTTTCACACGAGAATATTTCAGCTTTGTAAGTAAAGAGCAACAGCTTCTTTTGATATGCTAATGAAAAATGTTCTAAGTTCTTGTTTCGCGAATAGGATTGAAAGAGACTGCGCTTCTTTGTCAGTTAACTTTTCTCTTGATTGAAAAAGCCAGGAGATCGCTTCCTGAATTGAGGAAATTATAAATGTCGATGTTTTCTGAGATAGCTTATGAGAATCCATTGATAGATGTGTAAAAGTGGTGAGATTTCTATTTCATAAAACTCCTTATTTCCTTTTATTTCAGATCCACCCAGCTCGCCTATCATTTATCAGGTGACACCAGACGTGCTGAAATTCAACATCACATGGAATATCTCAAAAGTCAAAAATAGCAGCCGCTCTTTAGATTTCATGATCACCCTGCTTGATGCAAACAGGCATGTTATTCAGACACATAGTGGAATAAAGGGAACATTCTACACCCTTGAAAATTTGCAACAAAACAGAACATACATATTGATGCTACAAGCAAGAAATATTGCCGGTTATGGACGAGCCGAGAATGTCACTGTTAAAACACTTGAAGCAGGTAAAGATCTATACACCCATTCATGACTCATCTGTTAGTCAGTGCGTCGTCGATCTGTTCGATCATTGTCTTGATCAAGCGCCTGTTTGGCTGTTTAATCGACCATTATGCATTATCAATTTCTTTCAGATCCACCCAGGGCCCCCTTCATCGCGGTGGTGCCAAATGTACTGTCGCTAAATGTAACCTGGTTTTCGTCCATTGAAGACAACGGCATCAAAATTTATGATTACTTCGTGAAAGTCGTGGACTATGTTTCAAACAGACTGGTACAGGAATACAAGAAAGTACAGAAAACATCGTTGGTGATTGACAAATTAATGAGAAACAGGACTTATTTTGTGGCAATACAAGCACGAAACGAGGTCGGTTATGGAAAGCCATCCAATGTTAGTGCCACGACTCTACTGGCAGGTACAACAAAAACCTTTTATAGAGTTTTGCGCATGTCAACAGGTGCCTCTCTTTCGAAAGATGGCCACCTCTTTTGGCTTCATTTTCTCCCTTAGTTTCAACTCTCTAAATTCTTTTCCATCTTTCAAGTTTCAATGCGATTTCTTTTAGCATGATACTTCGTCCAAGGAAAGCAAAAGAATTCAAAATCAATGAGCAAATCAAAGTCCAAATTGCCGAAATTCGCATCTATATATCGATGTACAATTTTTCTTCAATTGTTCATTTTCCCATTTTTCACTCATCCTTTTTTTGTGCTTCAGGGCCGCCGGATGTACCATTGGTAACGAACATCACTGTTAGTGGAAAACAATGCTCACTACAATGGACGGAGCCTTTTAATGGACAAAGTGCCATTTTAACGTACACTGTTTATGTTTGGGAGTTTGTGGCCAGACTTGAATCATATACTAGGGAGGGCATAGGCTCATGGAATACCACCAACCTCACTTACACGCTAGAACTCGACTGGGACAAAATGTACTGGATGGCTGTGTCGGCATGGAACAAATATGGCGAAAGTTTCCCCCTGTTGCGAAGGAAATTTAGAACAGACAAAAATTCTAAAGGTAAATAAAGACTTAAACATACTCTAAGGCCACGCCAGAAGAAACCTTTCACACATTGAAGGGGAAAATCGGGCGTACTATCCTATTCCGTCGTTAATATCGATACTAAATTTAAAAACACTTCATAGTAACAAAGTGAAAACGAACGTCAAAGGCAAATTTACTTCACGTAGATATTGCTTAAACTTTCATCTTCGTCTTGTTTGTGTTCTATAGTGCAAATTTCGACAGAGATGCCCACCGTGCTATCTAGTAACAAACAAGGTAAGTTTTAACTGGAAGGAATTTAACCCTTTCTCCTCAACAGCAGTAGTCATCTTCTCTGTACTGTTCTCCACACCATTTCAAAGTTGCTGACAAGGAGAATTTGTTAAACAATCAAGAGCTTCGTTAGTTTGCGAACTAACCTAATGATTTTAAGGCGAAATTAGATGCTGGTCGACGTCACTCTCATAGTAAGTTCAAAGTCTTAACAGGAAGGGCTTTAATGAGGAAACTCTTTAAATGTAAACGCGGAAAGAAAAACTTTCAGTTTTGTTGTGTTAAAGAACTGCTTGATCCTGAGTTTTAATTCCATTACGCAGAGTCGACCGTCACGAAAAGAAAAACTGAACAACTTCCAACAGAACTGCCTACTATCAAACAAGGTAAGTATTGATTGCCAAGCATAAAAATTCCCGAAACAGTAAGATATTTACGTGTTTATGTAATAGGGATGGAAACGCACCAAAAAATGCCAGTGTACCTTTACGCTGCACAAATGTAGCTGGATACACATTTTATAGGAAAATGCACATGTTATTTTTTACTATTATTTTAGACGGGAAACCAACTAGAGATTTCCTATACTTTGTATCTTTATGCAACATTTTCCAGGACTGATTTTCGCTATTGCATAAATAGCGCTCTCTACTGCGAGGATCGTGCATCATTCGTATCTAATACCGCAGTTCAAAATATATGAACTTCATATATACATTGTATCTGATTTATCATCACGGGTTTATTACGAATCAACTTAATGGCCTGCTCCCAGTTGGCTTGTTAGCTCAATTGGTAGAGCGCTGCACTAGTATCGCAGAAGTCAGTGGTTCGAATCCCGTACAGGCCTGATTTTTTTCAGGTCTGATTTTCGCTATTGCATAAATAGCGCTCTCTACTGCGAGGATCGTGCATCATACGTATCTAGTACCGCAGTTCAAAATATATGAACTTCATATATTCATAAAATCAAGAGTCTAACGGAGTGAGGAGTTTGCAACGTAATATGATGCAACACTTACATAATTATCATTTTTTGGCAAATATTTTCTAGATTATACTATCTTTGTGTTTGCACTCTACTCAACAGCTGAAAACAGCGAAAGCAGAAAAGGCGTTTTTTCCTATTACGCACCTATCTGGTTCGTTGCGCTGGCATTTGCAACACCTATGGTTGTGTTCTTGGTTTGGAAAATCACCAGAAGAAGTAAGTTATTCGTGAATTCATGAATGCCTGACTGAATTATCTGATCAATCAGCTCAACTTTAGGGATAGGCGAAATCCTTCTTCTAACGTCCGCTCCAGTCCAGTTTTTCCTGTTCCGTAACGTTTGTGGTAAAAGACCCTTTTGATGAAATGGTGGTAAATTACAAGCCCCAAGGGATACTGAAGTATTTAAGTCTGGGCGAAAAAAAGATTTCGAACCTATACTAGTAAATACTATTTTTAAATGCCGCGCGCGCTAAATGTCAAAGTATCGTGTTTTTATGTGCGAATGACCTAAGAATTCACTTCCGAAAAAAGTTTGTACACCACTGCTTAAAATATTGTTCAAATACAATGAATTCATAGCCGAAAATTATCGTAGCGAATTTTCACGCATAAAACAACAACAACATAAACTTAACGCATTCGTTAAAAAAACGTGCCACTATACCCGGCGTGAATGAAGCTGGCGGATGAAACTTATTTTTTAGATACATATGCCTTTAAAACTATCTAAAATATTACATACCTTGGGTCCCGTCCTTTAGTTTTTTTTCCTTCGTGTGGTAGCGAGCATTATACATGTAAAAACCTGCCTGAAGATCAAAGGTTGACAACTGCCGTAACCAACCGGGGCGCTATGACCACACATGTCAATTAAAACAGCATTTCCAGGGCTTCAAGAAGCAACATTTGTAATGTTTGGACCATAATGAGCTTAAAAATTGGTTCATTAAGACGACATTTCGCAAGAACGTAATTACAACAACGCGAATTCGTCCAACTAAAACAGCAACAGTGAGGACAAAGGTTTAATTCACTCTCTGATTCAGCGAACAAAGTTCAAATTTGGCAAGCGTGCAGGCGAGCGTGTTCGAATCGTGCGATTTGACGTCATCATGAAACCCAACAAAATTCTTTCACGCCAGAAAAATGACTATTGGCGAAATTTCGTATTAAAGTTTGCTAGTATCATACAGTTTCAAATTGCCCGAATTGAAAAGTCTACAAGGCAGGCCGTGATAAAATTTTAACAGAGGTCACTTTTTTCACGATGTTTGTCTACATATGTTCATTAGATAGTTGGCTTTTGTGGACAAGCAAAAATCTTTCACGAAGTGAAACTAGACGGAAAAAAATAAGCGGGAAAAGAACTCTCGGAAGAAGCATAACTTTAAAACATCTATGCTCTCCTAGAATTTTAATTTCTAACTTTTTCGGATAACTTCCTGTTAAAATTTTCTATCGCTTGCCTTGACCTTTCTTCAAGTAAATGAAACCACAGAGGTTAGTACTTGTTTATATAACTGTCACAGCGCGTCCACAACTCAAATTACCTCAAAAAGTGAAGATGCCATAACTTAACCACTGGATTGGTTTACTAACGTTGATAGGATTGAAGCATTGTAGGTATCGTGCCTAGGGGTCCCAAGTACAATTAAAAAACAAACTTATGATCTCATTTTAAAAATTGAAGATTCGCCTTTGTACGATATGAACTGTCAGTACATTATCTTTTCAGTTATCGTCAAGCACTGTTATAAAAGCAGTAGCGATAGCGATAAGGAAACAGAAATTGAAAGGTGAGCGTATGAAAATGTCATGATATTTCTCTATGTGACATATTTTTGAAATTAAAGAAACATTTCTAGGATACCAAACATGTTATGAACGTAAATTGTTTTCTTCTGTATTTTACAAGTAACTAGGCAATGTTTTTTAAATTATCGACTCAGTCAAAATATTATATAACTATTTTTTCAGTTATTGATCATCATTTGTTGCTTATCAGTTTAGATTTTAATTTATTTTAATTTATTTTAATTTATTTTAATTTATTTTAATTTATTTTAATTTATTTTAATTTATTTGTGTTCTATTTACAGCGACATCGACAGTGAACTGGGTAACCCTTCTTACTTGGCAAAAATTGTGGAGCTTCAAGAAACATCGGTAAATATTTGTTTGTGTTCTATCAGTAAAATTCATTGTGTTTTGTGTTGGGAAAATGTTTGCAGACTATCTGACAAGAAACACTTTAAATAACACTTTGACAAGCAAAGTCCTTGAGAGGACCGAGGGTTTTTCAATTGTTTCAAATAACAACTGCAATCCGTTGCTTTGATATCATAGGGCAATGCCGCGCTAAACAGTCTTAACACCGTCGCAGAAGTTTTTAATCATCTAGAGCTGTCATGCACCTTTTGGTATAAAGGTTGGCAGTAACATCTGCTCAAACGACTGAGCGCAAACTTCATACTAGTTCTTAATCAAAACTGTCTTGATTTTGCAGGTTTCGAATGAATATGAGTCTATAACGGATATCTTTCAGAAGAACTTAAACCTTGGATACTCCATGGAGGACGAGCAACCCAGATATAGTAGGAGCCCTGTGACACATGATTACTGCTGTGTTTCAGAGGGATCTTCGGAGTATAACCATCTTAATGATATACCGACTGGTCGCGGCTCGAAAAGCCTCAAAGACTCGTTTTATGATGACAGACTGGGACATGACGACCGGCAATTGACGACTGGATTGGGGATGTTTGACATACAAATGTACTCGCATCTCATCCACGACGGATCGCCAAATATTGGAGTTAAAAGATGTATCTTTCCAGAAACAAGTTTCATTCTTCCTCCATCGCAGAAGTGGGAAATTTCCAGGGACAGGCTAAGAATTGAAACTACTGTCGGCCGAGGGGAGTTTGGGCTTGTTAAGAAGGGTTACGCACTGGATGTCACAGACGAAGGTGGTTGGGCGGTAGTCGCTGTCAAGACAATAAAAGGTAAGTGAAGTTTATCCGATGAAGTAAAATTTTTCGAAACTTGAATGGTTTCATAAAATTTTTTTTTTTTTAATTTGAAACTGAAATATCAGTTCGCTAATTTGAACCGGAGACCTTTTTTTGCGCATATAATTCCTTGATCATGGTCGAAACAAAGTTAAAAAGAAATTAATTTTAGTAATTCTTGATAACTTTACGGATCGAGGAATTTACATTATGAAAATATTCTTATTTCCAGAAAATTCAAATGAATCTCAACGCGAAGATTTGCTATCAGAACTAAAGGTGATGAAGGAACTATTATCACATAAACACGTGGTAGAGCTTCTGGCTTGCGTCACAAAATCCGGTGAGAAAGCTTCCCTCTGTTATTGGAATAACTTTAACAGATGTGGTCCCCTCTGAAAATACATGATATTTAAACCCACTAAATATGGCATTCGTTTTAACATAATTGGGATTCTCTGTCTATTTTTGGTGTTACTGCGATATCTTTTTACCGTCTTTTTAATTATCGAATCTTTCCTTTGCTGTTCCTCAGAGCCATTGTGTGTCATCACGGAATTTGCTCCTTATGGAGATCTTCTGGGCTTCTTGAGAAAGAAACGAGGTTTAAGGGATGATTACTACGACATACAACAGCTCCCCAAACGAAGCCTTACGTCACGGCTGTTGATGAAATTTGCGTGGGAGATAGCTGATGGAATGGCGCATCTCAGCGCGGCAAAGGTATGGTATTCTGGCTGCAACCTGAGCCTGCAACCTGAGCGTAGCTGGTCCCCGCTCTCACTCTCTCTCCTTTTACGACATGAATCACTTGGCATGGTACTTTTCAAATTCAAACGCAACCTGAGACCAAATCCATGTTATAAAATGACGAGAACGAACGTGGTGCAACTGAAAGATTTGAGTTTGTGGGAGGGAAAGAAAAAAGGTGTGAACCTGGAACTCAATAAAAACAATATTAACGATTTTGTCTTTTTACTAAATTGTCCACTTTCGATCTCTAAAAATTGATTTATAGATTATCCATCGTGACTTGGCAGCCAGGAATGTCCTTTTGGGAGAAAATTTGACGTGTAAAGTGACAGATTTTGGAATGGCGCGTAACACTCGCAGCAAAGATATATACGAAAGGACTTCGGAGGTAAGTAAAAAGGAACGCATTAGAAATAAACAAAGTAGAGAGGAATTGTATTACTATGAATTTATATTTGCATTGCACATTTATTTATCCATTTTTCCTAATTTTCTCCAGGGTCGCCTTCCTTTAAAATGGACAGCACTCGAATCCTTGGAATACGGACGTTACACTACTAAAAGTGATGTGTAAGTAAATGGTTTGCTGGTACATCGTGATTGTCCATGAATTGGACACCAAGAGATTATAAACGCTTGTTGGAAACTCCGTTTTAAATCTATTAAACTTGAATTTTTGCTTCCTTGAGATTCCTCCTTGTCCCTGTGATGAAGGAGGATCATCAACGTTTTAAAGTTTTTTGGGAAATCGTCTTGTACATTCTTCCTTTGATGCAAGCTCGATAAAAAAAAAAAGTTGACTTGTCCTCATTGTTTCATTTCATCTTTAGGTGGAGCTTTGGAGTGGTCTTGTATGAGATATTCACCATCGGTAAGGTTTATTTGTTTCTTATTATTAACTTATTATTTTCTTATTATTAACTCAATATAATTAAACAGCACTTTGTTGGTGTACATCTGATTTCTTCGTTGTCGTTCTTATTTTCCTTGATCTCTTCACTTTTTGCTCGATCCTTCATTGTTTCATTTATCGACCAGGGCGGGTAATTGGGCTGATTTCTGGTATGCTCCCCCCCCGATATAAAATTACTTTCAGCGAACACTCAAGAAAACCTGACGAGACACAGGGGGGGTTACTTAATTGACTAATATCCTATTGAAGGGAGGATACTGCGGGCGAGTTTGCAAGTCTCCAGATTTTACTCATTCAACTCTTATCTTTTGCTTCTTCTTAGGTGGTGCCCCATATCCTGGTATGAACGTTTCCGAGTTGACAAAAAAGTTAAAAAGTGGCTACAGAATGGAGAAGCCGAAACATGTACACAATAAATTGTGAGTAGGAAATTCTACAACAAATTATTTCAACAATTTCTTGCATAAAAGCTAGAAACATTGGTCCTTCTTTAAAAGTATCTCTGTGAGCTGAAGGCTCTATTGGGAAAACAGTGGCTCTAATAACGTTTTAAAAAATTCTTTTTTCGTCTAGATTTCTTAGCTCTTAACAAAGGGTGCCGACCCTGGCCAATAAAGCTACCTCTCAGGCGTTCTGCCTTAAATTCAAAACTATAATGCACGTTTAATTTTAGGTACGACGTTATGCGATCATGCTGGAATAAAGACCCAGATCAGCGACACACATTTTCGCAACTGAACAAGACTTTGAATCAGTTAGACAAGGAGGTTCAGGTAAATGAAGTAAACGAACTATAACAGCACAATTATTTAAATTTTAACTCAGCTTCCGTAAGGAATAAAAAGAACCGTCGACAACAGCTAATTTAACTGGTTTCTTCCTTGACTAACGTACACGTGATTGCAATCATGAGAAAACAGAAAATTGGGAAGTGGTTGCTAGGAATAACCAAATAGGCTAGACCAGTGGAGCCGTAAAGCCAATTGATATGAGTACTGAAAATTAAACCAAATCAGAGATGAACACATCGGCACGAACTCCTTTAGTCGCTAAAAAAGGGAAAGATGAAGGGGAGGGAGAAAAAAAATGACAAACAACAACACCAAACAGAAAAAATGCAGAATTACTCAAAAATAGAGAAACTGAAAGGAAAGTTTGTAATTGTTATTTCAAATAAATATGTAACTTATCTAAGTCCACATTATAAGTGTAAACAACAGTAGCTAAGTTTAAGAACAACGAGTAATATTGAACCAAGATGTGAGATACAAGGTGGACACCAGGTTATAGTAACTACGCACTAAATCATAGTATCAAGTGGAAAATCATTAAACAACATGATAATTTTTTTTTTTAATTTTTATTTTCTTTCCTTTTTTTTCTAGAATTGCATCAATCTCAGGACGTATAATGGCAAGCTTTACGAAAACTTCAAAGTATTTAAAAACTAGACCATAGCAAGTAAAACTTGCTACCGGGATCAGGGCAAAGTATAAAGTACAAATAATATTTATTTTCTTCGTATTCCCAATTGAGGAGCTATCAAATTAAATTAGGAAAATTATAGGGGCGTAAGTGAGATAACCATTAAATTGCGACGATTGACGAAATCTTCCCTGATTACATAGTATAATATACCGGTTAGGAAAGTCGGCTAAGGATGACTATGTCAAAGTTTTTTTGTGTGTTTACACACTGTGAATTGATAGTGTGAAAGGCTCTATTAGTCTGTTAGTTGAAAACATTGGGAAGGTTTTGCGCGGGCTCGTGCAAAAAAACCTTGCAAAGTCACATAAAGGGGAAATCTGTCGTTTTTGTAACCAGCTGTACCCTATAATCTTTGGTGTGCTGGTGGATTGTATTGTACCTCAATAATCAAGTAAAAATTACAGTCAATGCAGCTTTAAACACTTTTTTATTCAAATTTCCGAATGGAGTTTTCAAAATGCATCATAGAGCAAAGCTTAGGATTTCAAAGATGTTAATGTGCTTGTTGTAGTTTGATCCAAAAAGACCATCTTGCATCGGGGGCTCATACTATCTCATACTATGGACCTCCGCTAATCGAAATCAATATACCTGGTTATCCACGTTTATTTAACGTAGCACTTTTCCATGCGTTTATTATTTTCCTCTTCCATAAAATACATACAAAGCTCGTGTAGAGACCATCAAAAAACTGCGTTGCGTTCATTCCCTGTACATATATGTATGCTTCTGAGGAATGTAAGATAATTATCTTGCGGGTTAGGGACTGGGTCCAGGTAATTTTATTTTCTACAATCGTGGTAATTGTAAGTTATTCTCGCACCGTAGCGTTAATGGAAATCTGTATATTTATATTGGAGAGTGGAAGTCTTGAAAAATTCATAAAGCTTGAAAAAGTAAAAAAAATATTGATAACCTTTCGCAGCGGCCACTTAATGTACAAAATTGTATTTAATGATTTGATGACGTTTGACGTCTATTAGACTCGGCTGCTAAATGTAGCTGACAGTTAATTTGAACCTGTAATTATCTTCTTAAGGTTAAATGAGGAATAAAAGAAGGAGCTTTCAATGAGTAACAAGTACCCTGATTTCTTACTTTGAACAACAAATATATCTTTTTACAAAACTGTCAAAAAAAAAATAACCATTCTCAACGTACTTAATTGCCTGTCACGATGTCAACAAGGTCGCGTCTGATTTTACATTGTACTTCAAAGTCGAACTAATTCCAGCCGAAACTAACGTGAACGTAAGAATTCAGACCAGATTTTCGTCGGGGTATCATTGATTTAACCATTCAGCCTTGTAGACTCCATCTCGCGTGCATGATATAGAAGCCCCCCAAAAATCCGGCGAATCATCGTCAAAACGGAAACGCGTGGTTCGTTACGTCATGCCGTGAGAAACGTGCCGGCAAAAATTGTACTTTGATCCCTGTGCCATTGTCAGAGGTAAATGCTGCTCTGTTTGTGGAAACTAAAATGCGTTTTTCTTAGAACGACACAATAACATATAGATGGGCAGTTGTTTTTGATTAAACGCTCTGGAATGTTTGGAGTTGAACGTTGCTACCAATTGGGCCTGGTCAATCAAATTCGTTTCTTCATTCCTGAAGATAATGATGACTGCTCAGTTACTATCGGACGGGAAGTCGCTCCAAAGAAAAGGTATTTGGTATCCTTTTGGCTTTTGCATAAATGTTGCTGTGTAATGAGACACCAAATTCATACACTGAGTCAGCTCGAGGCTTGTGTTTTCGCTCTGGATTGCGTGAGGTGTCTATCTTTATGTTATAAAATTGTTTCAATAAGCTAAACACTACAGATAAACTAGCAAATGGTTTTCATGACAAATATACGAATCAGTATGGTTGTGGTGAGGTGGTGTGGCCTACTGGTAAACAATCCAACGGACATCCGTATACATAGCACTTCCCATCATTTTCTGAGAACAACCTCGCAGGCAACTTTTCCCCTCTTGCTGCGATATTTCCTTCAGGTTAAGATGAATTGAATACATGTGAGCATTAGTTACGTAAAGGTCAATCATGGTCAACTTGAGCCTATCTTCGTCAAGAATTCCTTGAAACTTGGCACTCATTTTGCTTCTACCCTAAGACACTTATAAAATGCAGGAAAAATACTTGACCGTTAATAGCTGTTGTTAAACAAAGTTGATAATCCAAAGTGCGAATACCATACTCAGCTTTAAAAAAAAAAACAAAACAAAACAAAACAAAACAAAAAGAGAGAAAAACACACTATTTGCGTAATCTGATCATGTTATAATCTTCGGCTTTTCCACCGACCATCCTTTATTGCAGTAAAGCCGGCCTATTTATCTTGCTGTTTGTAATTTTCTTTCTCTTTTGAAACGCTTGAACCTTTGCTGCAGTAGCTGTTGTTATTTACGAGGTTGCTGGTTATGTAGTACCTGTTAACTTACGTTAGAAACTCTTCAAAACAAAAGTGAGTCATCTCTTAAAAATAAAACTGAGAGATGTTTTGTGCGAGGTGGATATTCTTAAAAAGTGAAACGCTTGAATCTTTGCTGCACTAGCCGTTGTTGTTTACGAGGTTGCTGGTTTTGTAATAGCTACGTTAACTTACGTTAGCAATCTTCAAAACGAAAGTGAATCAGCTCTATGAAATAAAGCCGAGAGTTGGTTTAACTGATATCTCTTAGTTTGTAAGGTACACCTTTTCCTTTGAGATACACGCTTGATTTCTAGCATTTTCTAACCCTAGTTGTAGTTCGCGATTTGAGACTAACACTTATCATTCCATGCGTTCTTCACGTTTCTTCGAATTGCGTTTTTTTTATAGCAATCGGAGAGACTGTTTTGACGATATCAGGTAGGAATAGGTATTAAATAGTGCATTATAGCTCAAAATTGTAAATAAAGAAGAGATTCCAGAACGCATTTGTCTAACTATTTCCACATTATTGCCAAATTTTCAATAGAACATCTGCATTAATTAAACTGATATTTCTCGTTCAGTGGTCTTTCTTGTCAGCATCTGTACATTGCTTAGAAGGTATCTTAGTTACAATGTTTTCGGTTGATGAGGTCACCATACTTAGACAAGATTTGGAGTAAAGATTTATTCGCAGTTGTTTTCAATCCGTTGCTGCTACCGGATTGGTTTTGCTGTTTACACACCTAGTTACAGATATAAACTAACAGAACATTTTGCATCTTTTTGGGAGCCTAAAACCCGTCGTTATTTTTTGAGGAGTCTTCAGTGAAGAAGAATACGAAAAGCACAGAGCAGCAGTTGTTCGCTTGTCTAGTATATTCAACAACAACAAAAAAAGAGAATAATAACTATGAAGTAGCTGATTCAATTCCCTTCCTCATCTGCCAGATTGGGGCCTCAAATATTTGTGGGCAGTTGGTTCAACTCCGTGTTATTGAAACTATTTTGATGAAGTTGTACTTGATCATGTAATTGGTGCATCTGGCAAGTCGAGCTAAGTGGTTCTTGTTACCTTTCTAGCTCTTTTGAGACTGATAGTATCTGTAATTGGCTCCACTCATTTGTTACAGCCAACAAACATTGATCCAAATTGTAAAGCTGATCTGACTAATTCAGTTTTGTTGAGGGTTTTAATCCTGCCCGATGATATTTTTTTAAAATTAAGTTTACTGGGCGAAAGCTTGGTGCAATACATAGTATATGTTGTGTTAAAATTGCTGTTCGAGATTTCCTACGTTAATTTTTGTAGAATTTCGCAGCAGGTGATCATGTTATGTCCTTGTTAGCAGACAGGCTAGGTCTAGTTTGTCTTAGTGACTCAGCAGAATGACTTACTTCACTAGTAATTGCTTTTCTCGACTAATTCATGTGCTGGTGGTTTTCCCATCGCATCACGCGCACCTTGATAAACATAACGAAAACAATTATTTCATCTCTTAGCTCAAAGTCCTCGCACAAGATCGGAGTTTGATAAATTAATGAAACTGTCGAAGATTTTTCCAGAATGTTATTCAAGCGTGGGTGAATCCCAGAAGCATTTCCGCCAGATTAATTGACGAAACTGTGGGAGACGCCTCATCAGTTTTATATGACGTCCACTGCCACATAAGCCAATGAAACAGCCGTTTTTATTGTTTTGCAATTAAATCGATAGTTTATCACTCGAAGGATCGTGTATAGTGTCAATTATACTTTTTAAGCTGCAAAAAGGTTTCCTAAAGAAAAACCTGAGTGAAAAACTGTCTTTACATCCATGAAATAAGTTTTTTCACAATCGTTTCTCTCTGCCAAACAGCCCAAGAGTTTGGAAATAAAAGAGAGCCTTATACGGTTCCCAGAGAGGTCTTTTATACAATGGTAAAGCACTTAAGCTAAAATGGTTTATTCAGAAATAAAAATCCTCACCTGCACATTGACAATGACAGGTGTTCATTTAGCTATTGTTCGTTTGCTACGATAGGAATTATAATTTTTGTGCATTTAATGTCGCCAGTGCTCACTTGACGCATTTTACAATGTTGATGCAACTTGTGTAGTTAAGCAGACTGTGTTATCATAATACTGTCTACAAGAGTGTCTCTACTTTGATTCGAGTGGTTTGGGTGCGAGTAAACAACTTGGCTCCTTTTTTGTTGTTTGGTGTACTTTCTTTATTTCGAAGTTGAGCCAAAGCCTGATTACAGTATTTCCTGAGAGTGGTGACATATGTAAATAAAGTGGGCGTGGTGCTTGAGATGATTAATGTTTCTTTTCAGATATCACAGGAATTTTGTTGTTTAGTAGTAGTTGAATTTCCTTTCTAGCTCGTGACGTATGCAAAGCAACTGAAATTCGTAACACAAAGTTTTTGTGCCCCCAGTCGCCGCAATACATGAAACATAGCGAAATTGCCAGGTTTACCAAGCTTAGAAACACACTTACACCTCCAAATTTACCAAGGTGAGTGCGATTGGTCAAGGAACTGCTATATACATTCGCAAGTACAACCTCTCAAGGGTAAGGGTTATTTAAACATGGGATTGTTTAGGCTTGTCGATCAAGTTCACCTTACCCAAACAATTTCGTCCGTCGTGTCTTTTTCTTTTTTATTCTACTTGTTTAAAGGATGTGTTGATTAGTTTTTAAACCTGAAGACTTAAATTTGAGGATATCTAGAGTCGTCAGGTTTCTCCATCGAAAAGAGCCAAGGAAAACTTTAAAAACGAAAGAACATGCAAAGAAAACTCAATTGAGCAGTGAATGTGACTTGATAATTGTAGGAGTAGCTGTGGTAGTTACTTTGAATGGGTTGTAGATGATAATGGTTATCAAATTGCTCTAACTGCATTGTTTACATTATTCTCAAGGCAAGGTGAAGCTGTCGGGTCGTGAAAAACTAACTTTTTTGGGTGCAGGCTTGGTTTTTTGGCCTTGGTTGGTTCAGACATTAATGTTGAGATGCGTTTAGTTTTAGCATTCGGTGCGACAAGAATCGATAAATTCGTATTTCTTCTCTGAGCTTTGTTGTTGGGCAAGACAAGTCACTTATTTACGAAACTTCGCCCCATATATAAATAAGCCGGTGCCAACGAATGTAAACAGACTTGGAAAGATTGTCGAAGTACACTTTTGGTTGACATTCCGTTTTATTGAGATTGAGAAATGATATTTCTTAGTCGCATCAGACGTTTAAAAGAATTAAAAAACCAGGTGGAGGAGGACTCTTAAACTGTAAGGATTTGTGTATTGAAGCAAAAATAACTCTCAACTCATTTAGCAAAGGTCAATACTGACAATAATCTTATGGAACGAAACACAGTCGTCTGGATGAAGATAAGCTCTTAGCTAGAATCAATTCTATTCAGAGTAGTACACTTGATTGTGATCCAGATCATATCATGCAGATTTTTTGTATTTGTCTCCATTATTTATTGTTCTCTCAGTACGAACATTACTGCTGTCTCAAGTCTGTCAATAAGATGACAGTATCAGAGGTTTGTGAAACGGTTGCCATTGACAAAAACCCTAAACATGAAGGCAACGATCCCGAAAATCAAACTGAAAATCATGAAATTTGCTTAAAGAAAATTTAAGATCGTTTGTAAATTCTAAATTTTTTGTTTTTCTTTTGAGTTTGGTAAATGGCACGTGCCTCAATGAGTTAGTTTACCTTATAAACTCAGTTGATAAAACCTAAATTACCTCATTGACTTGGAGTTGTTTACAGTAGATAATCCGCTATACCTTCGTAATCTCTATCACGTGCGTGATGTGCTTCAGTTCATCCATGCCACGAATTTGACTTTCCACCTTTGTTTCAAATCCATTTCATGTACAGTACACAACCACGCCTCTCAAGGGTAAAATATTGTTCTGAATTTCTTGCAGGAAGTAAGCATTAAACGGGAAGATTGAAGGTGTCATAATTTCACGACATGGACTCCCAAGAAAGCAGTTTTCTCCAATTCGACCAAGATTGTCGCCTATATGTTGCTTTCTTTAAAAGAGAAGACAGATTTCCAACGTAAAAACTGATTTTCCTAGTCCAGGAGGCATTACTGATGATGAAGGCAAGCGGACCTCATGTTGGGGTACTCAGTTGTGGGCTGACATCCGTTCTGAAGGTGAAACAATACGTGATTGTCGGCGTCCTTCTCGTGGAATCCTGCTGCATAAGAATACGAAAAAAAACACTCTATGCATTCTTGGCTAAAATGTTTCCACAAGTGATTATATTAAGCAGATCAAAAAGCCTGAACCAAGTGTATGGGATCGTGTGAGGGTTTAAATGTACATCAGTTCACTCTCCTATTTCACAATAAAATTAGTTACAGTATCAAACCAAAATGACTCGATTTACGACCCTTGTACATCCGTTGTCTTTTGAATATCCGGCTGTGTGAGTCGGCGGCCTATTGCAGCGTCAATTCAGTTTACGTTAAATTTTTTTTTCTATGAGTATCGTGCTGATGTTAGATCTTGATCGTTTATTAAAAATATTTAGACTGAGCAATTCGAGTATGCGGGTATTTTATAATGCATTTGATTCAGGGTGTGTCTAATTCTCCAAAGGTAAAGTATAGCTTTGTGTCAGTCACCAGTTAACCACCATGCTTGAGTCTCAAATGTAAATCCTTATAACACTGTCATTGCATGAAGTTACGAAATAGTAATAGTGAAGCTAAGTTCAGTGTGAATAGCGAGATATGAAAGTTCTAGAAGACAGAGGTTTTTTGTCAGTTGCTTTCCCTTTATTTGAAACAAGCATACTCTCGCCTCTTCAGTGTCAAGATACTCTACCTAAGAAGAAGAGAAAAGCAAGTATCTTTGGGTCGTTTATAAGCCTTTTTGTACTGGACATTTAGATACAGCGTTAATATAATTAGTGAAGGGGTCGCTTACGGATCGACAAGACCGACATTTTCGCTGAAAGATGCTGAAGCAAGTTTTTCCGCAAGGGGTTTCAGCCATTTTGTTTTCCCTCGCGAGAACCACGCGAGGTCACGTAACGGAGGCGTCACCGCGCATAAACAATAGATGAAATGTCGCCAGATACTCTGGCGCACCTCCAGCACCTCCCACTACGAGCTTTCACTCGCAACAACAACACGCGAAAATTTCACTCGCGGTTCATTGATTATCCAATCGCTTTTTCAACGAAAAAAACCACGTTTTGTGAAATGAACTGCAATTTTGAAACGAAAGACTCAAGTAAAGAAGGCTAAAAGCTTGCAATATTGCTCTGGGAACGCCTGCGATTTCAAACCCAAACCCAAATCAACAGTCGCGCATTCGCAACAAGGTGAGCAGCTTGAAATGTGCCTCTTATAGGTGAGTTGTAATGGTACATTCTTTAATCTTTCATTGACAAGGTACAATCGAGTGTGCTGAGTTTCCTCAGGGATCAACATGATCTACCCCGTCATTCTCTTGAACGCCCTAAGAAGTTTGACTCATTAAAACTACCATGTTGCGCATGAATTTCACCCATATATAGCCATTCCCACGTGAATGTTTTCAGGGAGTTTTAACCCGCGTTTCTCGAAGAATTCCCACCTCTAAAGCAAGGTGAGCTTTCGGTGGCGCAACTCCGGAAAGACTTCTGTAATAATTCGCTGTCTCGTCAACTATGGTGCAATGCGCATTTCTTGTAATGAGTGTTTATCTTCGGGAAATGGGAATTATTATGCAAGAAGTTCATTGTCCGCAGATTATTCACACTGACTTTAGATGGAGATTGTGTTACCCTTTAAACTTTTTGCGGTTTTGGTAAAGAATGAATTAAAAAAAAAAGGAAATATAAACCTAGCGAGGTACATTGTAATACGAGGAACTTGATCATGGGTCTAGTTAAACTGATTACAACGCAAACACAGCTTGTTTGTAAGAGGAGCAAGAAAGCTTACTTCCAATACCGGAAATTTCAAATATCATGAGACAAAATAGACTTAAAACTCCGCTTTTTATTCTTAAATTTGTGAACTAAACAGTGTCTTAGAGAAACCAGGTTGCCTGGAGAATCTCTCTCATCCATCTCTCCTCGATAACACACTTGGACGTCTTCTGTGACCCGCCAGGGAAGGCTTGGTCTCTATCGTGGTCACCTTGTTGAGGATGTTACTAGTGTCGGCGGCTTGTCAGTTAAAAAGAAAAGAGACCTATGCGAAATACTATACTAAACTATCAATTAAGTCGTGACGTTTGTAGTCTATTGATCAATCAAAAGAGCGCGTGTCATGAAGCAAGACCAAACAATCAAGGTCAAAAATAGAATTAAATGTCTCCGTCAGCTACTATCAGTCTAAACATCTCTAAGCAGGTATAAAGCTAATGTCTGTTCTCCAAAAGGGGTCTTTTAAGCCAGCAATATCCTCATTGTAGTAAGGTGAAGACTCAAAACGACAGGTAACGTTTACTGGCACCTCTAATCCTACGTCCTGAAGAGGATAACAGACAGCGTAACAGAATACATCTGGAGCGTTCCAGAGATATCATTTCCCGTCAAACAGATGGTCCGTTGACGACGTAATAAGGAGAAAAACCACACTAGTTCCACACAATCGAGCAATTAAAACATAATATCTCACATTGCTACGATCAGATTCGGAAATAACTGTAACTATGCAACGAGTGTCTTGAAGAATAATGTTTTCCCTATGACCTTTCGTTTCAAGACCGTGTGAACTGTATCAAGTGTCCTCTTAGTGTGTTTGTTTCATCTGCCGCGCCAGGAAATGTACGTTGCTTCGACTGAAGAACATTACATTGCATATTATTTGGCAAAATCTCTCAAATGAAACAATTTCTGGCTTAAACTGTACCAGGTTTCTCATGTTCATTTAACTGCGTATTTCTTAGGGTGGATTACATTCTAGATTAGCAAGTAGATATCTCAGACACATTTTTTACTGATTATGGAACATACCTTTCATAACCTTTTCAGTCGTCCAATTTTCTACATGACAAGTTTCAGCAAGACCATCATTTGATAGCCAATAATAATTTTCAGCTGTCAATTGCGTACGACCCCGTTCAGGAGAGCTTTCTCTGTCGTATGTAGCGTCCCACAGAGTGTGGTTTTTAGGGGGCTTGGAGTCTCAAACATTGTACACGTAAACAGGATCGTTAACAGGTCTTCTTTTTGGATCGGAAGCCCGGAACAGGATGTGAAAATTGGCGGTGCGCGGCCTAACCCACATGTGTGGTAGAAAAAAATGTTTTAGACTTTTCTCTGAGCTTTCTATATGGAAATTCTCGGTGTTGATATGCGACAATTTACACAAATATATAGAGGGAAGTTCAATCAACGAGACGATGATTCCCACAATCAAGACGGAGGATGTTTTGGCCACAACAGATTCTTCCTTTGTGCTCCCTTAGGACCCCTATAGGTAGTTAAACGCAGGGATATTGTATTTTACTGTTTCAAAACTCAAAGTAGACAAATTACCTTTTAATATCGTTGTTTGTTTGCACAAGTGCTCTTTGTTAAACCAGTTATTAGCGGAATTTTATTTGTTCTCGCGTCACTTTCAAGCTGAATGGCAAAAAGGATAGATCTGTAAGATTATCCTAACAAGATATTGGCATATCAACAGGTAAGACAATTTAATTAGAAAAGCCACATAGTTTTAAGAAAGAGGAAGAAATAATTTCACAACCAAATGAAATAACGAATGAACTTTATTGATATTTTGTAAATGTTGGTCCAAGCTTGGTCGAAAAAAGTTCCAGAGCAAAACATCAAGTTAACATGTACCTTACTAATAAATACATAAATTCTTTATTCTTTAAAGAAAAAGGTTAAAGCTGAAAATGATAAATAGAATATAAATAAGGCCTGTGGCTAGGATAAAACATCACCGAAAGTTGTTTAGAAAATGTGTACTTACATAGTTAAACCCTAAAATATTTGATCAAACTTTTCTCACTGGTATAGAACCAAATTAAACTGAGAATTGCCTGTATTTAAAACAAATCTGAAGCAGAAATTTTTTAAAATGGTAAACCGATTCCTTTCTTCCTTGTTTTCGTAAAAATCTAAAGAAATCTACGTTTGATGGAATAGTAAATATGTATTGAAAAACACAGCTAATACAGCTTTTGTAAGAAACTCCTCACTGATTTAGCAACAATGCAGTTTATAACAATAATATTATAGTCAATTAATTTACAGTCAATGAATAATCTTTTGGTGAATTTCCAGATCTTGTTAAGGCATTTGATATGGAAACCATTGGATTCTAAAAACATTATGGTCTACGAGGAACAGTCTAAGAATTATGTAATGAGTACATAACGAATAGAAAACGAATTGTAAAGAATAAATCAGTTCACTCAGAGAGCTTAACAATTAAATTTGGTGGTCCTACAAGGATGAGTGATGGAACCACTCCTTTCTCTACCCTTTAAATGCCATTTAGGAAGGTTTTCACCAAACACATTTCATAGTGCTAAGACTAAAGAGAGATCAACAAAGAATAGTATGTCAGACGAAGTCATTGAAATGCTAATTAGACAAGTGAATTATATTAAATTTTTATATGTTGACGAGGAACTTTCAAGGAAATACCTCATCCATCAAATATCAACAAAAAGACCGATAATGACAGGACAAATGGGCGAGACCTCTTTTGGTGAAGACTCGCAGTGTGCAGTCGAAAAGTGGCGATCACCATCGGAAGTGAATAACATCGTCAGTCAAACGATTATACGTCATATAAAAGGGTTTCCATCGCAATGACTCACCGCATAATTTTTACGAGATAGAGTCCTGGTGATTAATTTATGGATCCCGTTTTGCTGAGGGAAATGAAAACATCCTTTGAATCCAGTGAAAAAGTCTTGACGGTTTGCCATGCCTTCACGTAGTCTTTGCATTTCATTTGACATAACACGAACATTTGCAATTTCTACTATACAATCATATTCTTCGCCTAAGGGAAATCGGGAACTCGATTTCCTGGCTCGAATTAACTCCTTCTCTCTGTCTGTTTGACTCGTTGAGCTGTTCCCAACCTTCCACACCGTGAATGAATTTTTTTTTTTTTTTGAGGTAACCACGAGGCACTCTACCTCTCAAAGTAGGGGAAGCTAATATGTTGCGTGACGAGTCTAAAATTCAACAGCTTAAGAGACCCCTTTGAAGACGGTGTAGTCGATCATTATCTTAAGTAATTTAAGAAAGAACTTAACAAGAAAAACAGCTAGTTTAGCGAAGTTCTCTTTGGTGTATACTGATGCACACAACAATCAATGTACGTAGAGCAAACTAACAGTATGAAGTAAGCTGAGGAAGCTTACAGTGCGTAAGGTAAAGGAACATTACAATAAATGATTTAAGCAGAGGAGAAAGCGACCAAGAAAATATCCTTTGAAGATTTTACTAATGGATTCCGCGACTTCTACAATGAAAAACTGACCAAATAGGTCCATATACTCCCGCTCTCTCTCTTGCAATGTTGGTTGTTACTTGAGAGCAATCTTCTGTGACGTCGAATTGTTCATTCAGCCATGCACAGGGGTGGGGAAGGGAAAATTTGACAATCAACAAAATTTACAATCCTTAAGACCCAGGGTTTGGTCGCCTTTGTAATGTTTCCCAGTGGGAGCTTTGCGTTGCAAACCAGAGAGGGACTTCGAATGAAACTTCGATGAGAATGTGGAGAATGATACTCATCATGAATGAGTGGAAGATTGAGACCCCAGTAGTACGTGCAAAATCCATTTTGAGTCTAACTCAAGTAATAGTATGGCTTCTAGAAAGCTTGATCCACGGACTAGGTTTGACGCTCGACACGGTGGATCTTGAAGGAAATACCATCGATTTTTTAACACCGTGCAGTCTACATCCAGTCAAGGTAGATTATTTTTCAGTGTGAATTTCTGAAAGGTTGAACTATTCTATGTGATTGGTGCACAAGTCCTCGCGCCACCCTTTTACTCAACGAGATCGAAACTAACAATAACCGATTATAAAGATATCGACTATGGACTCTGGTTGGTTTGTCATGATATTTGCCTCTTGAATGCCTGGTTATGGTAATAGTTAAGGCTTTGAGTGGAGTTTAAAAGTGTCCTAGTGTACCTTGTATAAAGAAATGCTTGTACACACCTTACTCTCTAGTGCAAGTCAGCCTCACGAGGAGAATTTCGTCATCTAGTGTTGAAGTGAGAAGGTAATTTAAACGCGATGGAATGGGATCGATTACAGTCTATAGAACTTTTGCATTCGAGGCATCGCTCTCAAATTGTGGAAGTGTGGGACCGATTGCCAAAAATCGTTAGGGACAGTTTATGAACCAGGTGGACAAGAGTTATGGTACCACTGC